GGGGAGGTGCGGGGGGGAGGATTGTGTACCAATGAGTGAGTTTTCTTTTGCTTTTCAAGGAGAGGAGCAAATGGGGGGGAGGGGGGAGGGGCTTGTGCGGGGAGAAGGATGCAACAATGAATGAATGGAATCGCAAAATCTCTGTAGATGTTCATTGAAATGAAAAATAAACGACCTAAATTAAAAAAAAAAGAAATGTTCGTATTAAGAGTAATAATGGTGTCGGGTATTTACTAGGCCCTTTTATACAGCTGGTCCTGTGCTAAGGGCTCAAAACTGGTGATGTGACTTAAGATGCAGCACTTCTCTGTGGGGTATTAATATCAAGCAGGAATCTGAGGCTCCTAGAGACGATGACACTCAGGATTAAATACCTGCTAAGAGGCTGGAGTTCTTATTACCTCCAAAGCTGGAGTTCTTATTTACCATTCTCTACACCAGGACCCTGAAAAAAATCTGAAGATTTCCCTGACTACCTCCTAAAACACTTGAGGATGTGGGGACCCCAAGTTGCGAATTCTTGTATTAGATTATGACCAAACTATGTGAGGTTATGACTCATGAGCAAAAAGAAAAACAAATCCTCCGTAAGAAATGGTTAACTAGGAATGTGTTGCCAACGAGTGAATAAAGGGCTTTTAAAAAGTTAAGTATTCAAGGATGTATGTGATTAGTCAGAGGAAAGAGAGTCCTTTAATAATAACCACTGTGTGTCAAGAGCTCACTCGTTAGACACTATGCCAAGTGCTATAAATGCCAGCTTCCAGTTAATCTTTAGATACTATTATTCCGATTTCATAGCTGAGAACAATGGCCAAAAAGATGGTAAATAAATGGCTTAGAGGTGAGGGAAATTGGAGGAATCTGTTCTCAAAAAAATGTATTCGAATTTTATAAATAAACTAGTATAAAAAATGGCTCAAGGTCATCCAAAGCAGTAGGTAGATGATCTGATTGAATTCTAGCAATGTTATGCTATGCCATGCCATGCCATGCCATGCTATGCTATTCTATTCTACAGAAGCCTGCTGGTAAGGGCAGGCCTCAGATTGCACACAGGACAGCAGAATGAGCATCTACCTAGTTTGCTCCTTTCTGGATCTGCCTTATGGAAAGAGGGTGAAGGAGCCAAAAGGTACCTCCCATCGCAAGATAAGCAGGAAAGCCAGTCAGGACTGTGCTGGTGCTGTTTCTGTGAATGTAATGATGGATGCATAAGCCTGCATTCCAGAGGAAAATGCTGTCTACAGTAGACAGATTTTGGACTAGTTGCCCCTTTATATTATCCATACTGCTTCACTCCTGCATTCTGATAGATAAGCAGTTCTTCTATAAGCTG